ACAGTCGAAGCAGGAATTTAGGGAAGGAGAGGGTGGGATCACAATGAGTACAAAGCCTTTGTTTATTGTTGGTGTTTGGCTCAAGGTTAGAAGACCCTTTTTGGTGAATCATGATCGTGTTGAGCCTTTCAGCTTATCAGGGTGGAACTTATGAGAATCAGCTGCTTGACAAAATTTTCCTGGGCTCAGGGGACTGTGCCTGTCTCAGGTTGCCCCCTCAGGGGGTCTTCCCCGTCATTGGCTAACCAGCCTTCTCACCTCTGAGTCTGCAGCTTTTTACCATTCCAGCCCAAGGCTGTTTTGGGGATAGAAGACTAACCGCAGGCACGCCCAGCGTTTATAGCCGGGGGGCCTGGGTCATTGCTAAAACCTCAAGGCAGTTACTAAGCACATCTTCTTTAAGGAGATAAGTGACTGGGATCTGTTACAATTTGTTAACCCAATCATGGGCTCCCACATTCCAGTTCATTTTGGAAAACTAGCATGTCTCTTATACTAAATCTAAGTAAATAACTTAACTAACTAAATCTAAGTAAAACAACTAAATCTAAATCTAATACAGATAGTGCAAAAAGTAAAACATAGATCAATTTCATTTATGATTATGGTGCTTTCTTAAACAATGAAGTTTTGGATAGAATTTCCATGCCAAATAATCCCAGATTTCTTCCTCTTTCCTCATAAATCCTCTATTTCCATGCTGGGGCATGAAGATTAAAGGAGCAGAAAGTGGAATTTGGAACTTCAGGAAAGACCAAGGCAGATCCTAAAATGTAGTTTCAATAAATTCTGAGGTGTTTACAAATGACTTGCAAATTATCGCAGCCAAGCTTTCAAATCTATTAGCTCACAAAGCAAATACTGATGATTAGACATTCATCTGGATTCTAGAGGCTGCAACCTAGAGACCCAGGCCTTTCAGGAAAAAAACACTCTCTACTTTAGCTCACACACAGTTTGCATGTGATGGATTTTCATGTCTGAGTCCCAGTCTTGGGAGCAGCACATCACAGTAGTCAAGTCAGTGGCTGCTTCCTAGTTTTACTTAAGACAATCTACTTTTTCTGGATCATGTTCAGAAAACATGATCCAAGGAGGAATGGACAGAAATATGAACACAGAGGTACTTCTCAATAGCTGGTTCAAAAGTTAAAGAGGAAGATTGACAAATGCAGATGGGAAAGCATTAGAAATCAGACGCACACACACACACACGCCACACCGTGGCTGAAATGTTCTGAACAGAGCTTAGAAGCCCATTAGGTTGCTATAACAACTTCTCCCATCTGACATGCTCTCTTGTAATATAACCTTGTCATTGCCCCCTCAGAAAGTGGAGTCTATTTCCCCTCCCTTTAAATCTGAGCTGACCCTGTGACTTATTTCTTTGTAAACTTTTTATTTTAAAATAATTCTAATTTGTAGAAGAGTTGCAAACGTACTTACAGTGGGTTCCTGTGTAAACGTCACCCAGCTTCCCATCTTATATAACCAGGATAAATTTCTCGGATATATTCTGATCAGTGGAATTCAATGGTTTGTGTGTAACTTCTTAGACTAGGTTTGGAGTGCTCTTTCTTAGAGCCCAGCATCCATGCAGTAAAAAGCCCGGGCAGCCGTGTGAAAGACCCACTTAGAGAAGAACCAAGGCCCCGGTCAGTAATCTAAAATGAGTTCCCAACTGACCCCTGACACCAACAGCCAGCAACATGAGTGAGGCCATTCTGGCCCTTCCAGCCATCCCAGTGCCCCAGCTGACACCGCAGAATGCAGGGGGACCATCTGGTCAACCCACAGAATTCTAAGATGTAATAAATTGTTATTGCTTTAAGTTTCCACATTTGGGGATGGTTTATTAGGTACACCAAATTTAACTAGTTTGACATTTGCACTGAGTACTAAATAAAGCTAATCCAAGCAAGTTGGATCCAAGAAAGAAGAGAAAATGATACAAATAAAAAACAGTTTGGATAAGCAGTATTCTAGCCCTCTAGTTCAAGCATGTTAATCTTTTTTTTTTATTATCAGACTAAATATAAAGCCAAGGTGTTTTTAAGTGATAAACCTTAGCTTTGGCAAACAGAGGCTCAAAGATCAACCTGACTACTGGAGAAAGGCTGATAAGAAGCCTTTAAAATTCTGATTTGAATTAAATAATGTGCATATTTGCCTATTCAAAAATTGTATTTAAAAAAAGAGTCTGCAGACAGTTTAACCACAATTCAACTCATAACAAGGATCTACAACTCACAATTTGGCTGTGTTTATTCAGCACAACTGTGGGAAAACATGCCTCTTCTGTGTGTCCCAAAAAGTTAGCAAACCAGGCTTCATTTAGGCGTGGGTCTGCCTTTTAAAGACATGGCTCAGTGGGGATGGGTTATGTGGTGACAGAAGCGTAGGGCTGACTGGCTGTGTACGTGGCACCTACCGACCTCACCTCCCTGCGCTGTGGACTCTGAGACGTGTGCCAATTCGACTGCTCTCTCGGCTTGAAAGAATTGCCACTTTTAAGGAAGGGTCTGTACTGCCAGGCGTTGCTTCCTGCTGGCATGCGAAAACTAATGGTCACGATGGTAAGTTTATTGTTGTTTGTGCGGTTTTGTTTTTGTTTTCGCCTTTTAGGTTTTGCAGTCTGTTGTTTTTTTCTCTGACACTAAATGGATGATGTCTTTTTCGACACAAATTCTCCAGTTCTGTTCTCCACAATGTGCTCACTGCATTTGCTCCAACTTCTCCTGGTGTAAACTCACCCCAGCAACACAGACCAAGGGTATAGACACTTACAGTTTGATCTCACACCAATTGTGTTAAACGTTTACAAGGACTGGAGGACTAAAGCCAGTTTCTGAAGGAAATAGAGAATATATTTGGAGGGAAAACAAACAAACAAAACGCTATGTACCTGAGTAAACATCAGATCCCACAAATTAAGGGGCATCCCATGACCCCCCTGCACACACTCAGGTTTGATAATTTGCCAGAATGACTCACAGAACTCAGGAAAACACTTTACTTACAACTACGAGTTTACTATAAAAGATACAGCTCAGAAAGAGTCAAATGGAAGAGATGCACAGAGCAAGGTATGGGGGTAGTGCCGAGCTGATCTGCCTTATCCAGGGGCACCACCCTCCCAGAACTTCTACCTGTTCCCCAGCCCAGAAGTTCTCCAAATCTCATTGTTCAAGAGCTTTTATAACCTAATCTCCAGGCCACCTCCCCTCCTTCATGGTCTAGGGGTGGAGCTGAGAGTTCCCACCCTCTAATCTTATGTTTAGTCTCTTTGCTGAGCAGCTGTCTAGGGGGGGCTGTCTAGGAGCCCCACCCTGAGTTATCTCAAGAGCATAGGCTCGGGTGTGCTCCAAAGGGCTTCATTATGAGTAATGCAAGGCACTCCTATCATTCCAAGCACTTTAGGAGATCTGTACCAGGAACTAGAGACAAAGACTAACTATATATATAGTTTACAATACATACTTTTTATTTTTATTATAGCCCACACAGTCGTGAGTTATGTGTTCCTTTAAAAAACCTTCTGACAATATGTACTAGGCTCGTGATAAATATTTGTGGAATGAATACAAAAGAGACATGGTAAATCCATTTTATATAAGCCATCCTGGAAGGGCGAGTCTGAAGCAAAAACTGTGAAAGGGGCCAAAGCGTCTGCATCATCCATCCTTCATCTCCCATCCCCATCCCCAACCTCCCCAGGCGGTTGTGACAGGTGCTCTTCCCCAGCTTCTGCTCAGCCCCATTCACACTGCTCCTCTCCTCTCTTAAACTCTCTCTCCTTGACTCACAATCCAGTTTGCTGACCCCAGCTCCAACCTCTTTCTCCCAACATCTTCCAGCCAGGACTGGCTTCACGATGCAGTTTGACCAACAAGTGGATGAGTGTTGAGTAGTGCATCTAGAAAACTGCTTATCTAATAAAAAAGGACAGACTCAACTGACACACCCCTTGCCCCTTCCTAGAGGTTCAGTGCAGATGCAAACTTAGTAGAAAGAATTCTCATTCTTTAAACGAGTGCACTGTTAACCCTAGTGCATGACTGGTGAGACTGGAAGTCAGTACACTCACTATGGAAACCAGCATGAAGGTTCCTTGGCAGGTTGAAGATAATGAACCTACCATAGTCCTTGGCACCATAGTGCTTGTTGAGTAGATTAGTTAGTATAGGCATACTTTTTAAATCATTTATTGTTTCATTTTTTAGGTTGGATAGTCCAGCAAATTTAAGTTTTTTGATTTAACAACCGGCACCTCACTGGAAAAAGACAATGGTTTTCTTTGTGTATATGTTTTTATTTTTAGTATGTGCACACTAGGGATTGGCACTGGAAATTTTGTACTTCTTTCCATATTGTGATTATAAATTGGGAGTTACTGAGTTAAGAGGTCATGTAACAATTTAGTGCAGGGAGCAAATGTGCTGGCCACTTCTCAAGACTTGAAGAGGAAGTTCGGGAAAATTAATCAGTGCCAAAGGACAGGGTAGAGAGAAATAACCTAGGAGTTCTCCAGGAGAAGGGTATAAATATCAGACCAAACCATCCCTCCTACGTTAGGCTGCTTAAGGGTGATGGTGTGTGCCCGCAATCCTATCTGATAAAAGACTCCACAATTTTTGGTGAATCAGTGCCCTTTTTTTTTTTTTTACAAGTTTTTCTGTGTAAATCTTTGTTTACAAGAGAAAAAAACAACATCGCATCCAGGCAGGCACTGGCAGGAAAACATGTGGGGCTCTGACACCTGGAAATATCAGGAACCTTAGAAAAATACCACTCTTATTAGGCTGCTGTGCTATTAAGGAAGGGAACTGGCAATTTTTATTCCAAAATGTGCTGTTTTTATTCTAATTTCAAGTGGCAATTTAGGAAAAAAAATATCATACCTGATGCTATTATTCACTATGGTATAAATTTTTCCAACTTATGAATATTTTATTATTCTTTTACAAAAATTTTATTCTTTTGGGGAAAAAGATACATATTCATTGCATGTCGTAAATTCAACTATAGAAAAGTACAAAGAAGAAAGCAAAAATCATACAAATTCTATCACCTGGAGAGAGATTACTACGAATAATAGTTGATACCTATATTACTTCCAAGCATCTCTCTAAGGGTGAGTGTGTAAACGTGTGTGGGGGGGTGTATACATCTCTCCTCTTTCTAAGTGTACCTAAACATATATACACATGCAGACATACACATACAGACATATACATATATAAGCAATTTTGTATGACATGTGATGTCAGCATATTTTTGTGTAAATAAATTTGAAAGCACATTCTGGTTTAATCAAGAAACATGTCTAAAGTATAACAAGCGTCTTTAGAAAGAAAAATACCGTATGATATCACTTATACGTGGAATCTAAAAAAAAAGCAAATGAACTTGTTTACAAAACAGAAACACACTCACAGACATAGAAAACAAACTTATGGTTACCAGGGGGGAAGGGAATGGGAAAGGATAAATTGAGAGTTCTAGATTTGCAGATACTAACTAATATACATAAAATAGATAAATAAGTTTATACCGCATAGCACAGGGAACTATATTCAATATCTTGTAGTAACCTATGGTGAAAAAGAATATGAAAATGAATATATGTGTGTTCCTATATGACTGAAGTATTGTGCTGTACACCAGAAATTGACACACTGTAAACTGAATATACTTGAATAAAAATACTATTAAAAAAAGAATAATAAGCAGCTTTACCAAAAAAATTCATCCAAATAAATTCTTGAAAAATTTTTCTTAAATTACTAACAGAAATTGTCTTACTATCTATATGTGTTCATGTATATATGTTTATTTGTTTGTTTATTTGGGTTTTTTAAATTGTGCTTATTTATTTTTCAAAATATTTTTGTGTTTAAATTCAAAAAGTACAAATCTCTTCTGATACCTGCCTTCAGCCACCTGGTTTCCCTTTCTAAAGGCAAAAAATGTCATCATTTACTTGTGTATCCTCCTAGAGATAGTTTACAAAGAGTTGAGCAAGTTCATATATTGCACAAACAAATATATATGTACATGTAAATGCATATAAATTCCAAAACACATTATCTTCTCCTTCTTATATAATTGGTAGTACATTACATACACTGCTCTGTACTTAACTTTTTTGGTTAAAAGATATGTCTTGGGTATCACTTTGTCTCTTCCTAGATTTTTCTCCTTTTTTAAAAGTACTTCCATGGTATTACATTACGTAGGACGCCATAATTTAGTCAACTAGTTTGTAATAGATTGTTTCCAATCTTTTGCTATGGCAAACAAAACTGAAAATAATAAACTTGTGAAAATGTAATTTCACATGAGTATAAATATATTTGTAAGTTTCTATAAGTGGAATTGCTAGATCAAAAAAGATGGTGACAAATGACCCTTCTTAAAAGTTGACAATTAAATGACCATGAGTAACATATGACGATGCTGTTTCTCCACACTTGGCAGCAAAGTGTGTTATCACATATGTTTGTCTTTGCAACCTGATGGAAGGAAAATAGTGCAGACTAGTGTAATTTTGATTTTCATTTATCTTGTTATGAGTGGAGCTCAGCATCTTTTATACTTAAGATTTATTTTTATTTCCTTTTCTGTGACTTGCCTGTGGCAAAGTCAAAATAAGCAAAAGCAAAAATAAGCAAAAGCTTATTTTGCCATTTGACTGTTATATGTGTATTGATTTGTAGAGCTTCTTTTTTATTAAGAAAAATAGCCCTTTGTGATATGAATGATAAACATTGGTTTTTAAATAATAAAATAAAAAGTATAAAAAATATTCAATCAAACAAGGTATGCAAAGATGGGTGTTTATTTTGTCATGCTTAATAGTACAAATGAAATAATTTATTGGAATTTAAAGATTAAAGTTAAGTGAGTGTGACTCTAGTTTTGTTCTACTCATATCCAAACTAGTTTAAGCAAAAAAAAAAAAATTCATGTAAGAAAGATTCCAGAGGTGGGCAGCTTCAAGGTAATTCATTCTCATCAGGACCCAGGTTCTTTCTGTCTAATATTCTTGTCCATCCATCATAGTAAATCTGGTTCCTTTCACAATTATGAGATGGCCACTAGTAGCAACCATGGTTTTGTGCCTCCTAGTTCAAGCCCACTGGGAAAATGAGATTGTCTTTTCAAGCAAGTTAAGACCTTCCTCTAAAGATTCCATCAAACTTTTCCTCATGGCACGCCTCATGTCAGAATTGGGTCATTAACCCATTTTGAATCAATCACTGGTAAATTAATTAAATTATCTTTGACTCAGAATCACCACTTTGTCCAAGGTCAATACTCCCCCAAATCATTATTCCACTCACTGGAGAGGTAAAGTAGATGTTAAATAGATGCTCTCTGCATTGCTCAAGTAGCACAACTTCTCTGTGCCTTGTTTTCCCTCTTCATTCAATAGGAATAATAATAAAACTTAACTCAGAAAGATTTTGTGCAGCACCTTGCACTAAGTAAAAGCCCAATAAATGTTTTCCCTTTCTCTTTGCCTTCTCCTCATTCCTAGCATTGCTATTGTTTTTTGTCATATTATTACTTA